CGCTGGGACTAGTGTGCTCTGGGTGCAGGACCTCTCTGGCTGGGGTCACAGGTTGTGGGGGCCTCCCTTCATTGGGGTTTTCTACTCCTTGGCACCCTGGTGTCAATGGTGCGATTCCGCAGATGAGCACTATTGTCAGTTGTGCGGCTCCTATCCTCTGCACCCTGTTATAGCCCATCCCCACCCCCCACCCCCATTCGAATCGCCTGGTCACAGGTAGAGCGCCCTGTTTTCTGCAGGTGCCCAGTGCTAGCATCTGCGCCTGCTACAAACCCAGTTGCAACCTCCTCTTCGCAGAGGCAACACGGATCTTATGCAGTGGTGATGGTGGAGGAGGCCTCCCATTCCCACCCCGGGGAGGAAGCTGGGATTGGGGGCAACTGGCCCTGCAAGAAGATCTAACCTTCAGGTCCTTACCCCAAATCTACCATCACCACCACTGTCAGATTCTTTGGCTATTTAGTCAATTCCAATCAGGCCTCTCAGACTAGGGTCGGTAGGCTCTGACCACTTTGCCTTCAGCAGACTTGGGCTTTAGACAACTTTTGCTCATCCTTAGAATTTTTAGGGTTAAACTTTAGAGCTGCGAATTCAAGGCCCAGTCATTGGGAAGAACTGGGTATACAGATTGAGAGCTGCAAGCTGTGGTAGGAGACTGAAGGTCTAAGGGGTTCCCCATTGTGATTGACAGGCAAAATCTGGACTCCACTTCACCAGATCTTCCTGGTTTTCAAGAGAATCTGAAATTTGCAAACTTTTTAATTACTCTGTTGGGCTAGTTAAAACAAAACAAAAACCATCTGTTGGCCAAGGAGAACATATCACAGACTGAATATAGTCCACTGGGCTGCCAATTTAAAATTCCTGGATAGATGATCTGGAAACTGGAGTTCTGTCCTTCCTATTTTGTGTGGAGTTAACCCCATTCTTCTGCCTTTCTGAAAACATCTATCTACCCATGTAAGATAAAAAACAGGAGACCCAGCTTTCTGCTGTCCTCAAAGAGAGGGGCTGCCAGCTGGTGGGTGTTGTGGATGGTGAGGACAACCTCCAGATGTGGGTTAGTAAGAGTAAGAATGACAGGGTAGCCAGTAGTTACATGCCCTGACAGAGTCTTTTGAAGACTTGTAGCAGATATATCACCTTCAGCTAAAGGCTTTACCCTTCCTGGACTAAGCCCATCCTCCTTTTTTATGGGGCAAATGACTCTGGGGACCTTCTGCTCAAAAGTGCTTTCCTAGAACCCTCTAAGATTCAGTTATGCTTGAGTTGATTGCACACAATCTGGAAACCTATAAGTGTCATTTTAATAAATTGAATTCCTGATTATCTCTTATGGTGTGCATCTTTAATGTCACCTAAAAAGTTCATGTGTAAGGTAATGCAGGAATTATTAGATTATGAAAGCTATAACCTCATCAGTGGATTAATCCATTTGATGGATTAATAGTTTGGATGGACTACTGGTTGATAACTGTAGGCAGGTGGGGCAGGGCTGAAGGAAGTAGCTTACTGGGGACATACTCTTGGACTATATATATCTTGTCCTTGGCTCCCCCACTTTTTTCTCTCTCTTTCTCCCCTTCCATTCTCTTCCTCTCTTCCTCTCCCTTTCTCTCTCTCCTTTCCACCCGCCATAAGCTGAGCAGCTTTCCTCTGTCATGCCCTTCTTCTCTGATGTGCTGCCCCATCTCAGACCCAGGACAATGGAGTTGACTGACCATGGACGAAATCTCTGAAATTGTGGGCCCAAATAAACTTTTCCTCTAAGTTATTCTTGTCAGGTATTTTGATCACAACAATCACAAAGCTGACTAACACACTACCCACAGCAGAGTAAGGGCTTTACCTGGGCATGGCCATGAAGTTCCCAGGGAGACAATGAAGACAATATAACAAAGTGCTACAGGGAGTTGTCTTAGTTCATTCAGGTTACCCACTGAGACTCCAAGACAAAGATTTGAGTGCAGGTAATTTACTAGGAGTTGATCCTGGGAAGCAGAAGGAAGGTAGAGGGAAAGTGGGGCAGAGAAGGGAGAAAAACCAACGCATGATGTGCTAATGAGCAGGGAATGCTGTGGCTACCTGGGGCTCACTCTACCCGAGGCTCACTCTGCCTGAGAAACTAGGTGGAACACGCCTCCTGATTGTCCACTACAGCACAGGGAGCCTGGGACATTCAGCCACTGAATGATTCCTATACCTTCATTGATGGACAGCTTTCCTGAGGGTGAAAAGAAGAGAGCTTCAAGGCTTGGGTAGGAGGTATCAGAGTACAAGAACTGCACCTGCCAGTTAATTCAGGAGGACAGAAGGGACATGGGGCAGGTCATCAACCTCTCACAGCTGCTACAAGAGGGGAGCAGAGGGACATTGCCTTGAATGAGTAGGATTAACACTGGAGTTCATAGGCTAAACTGGGGGGTGAGCTCAGAGAAATCTGAGGGTTAGTAGGATTTTTAGGGCTAAGGATTTTGCGTAATTGGAGGCAATGTTATGTTCCCATTTTGGCTGGCAAAGCTGGCAAGAAGAGGGAAATGGAGATTCCTTAGTCAGACAGAATAAAAATTATTAATGAGCTTCCCACTCTGGTCAAAGAGATTTCTCCAGTTGCCAGCTCCAATTCTCTTCTCTCTGAAATCTTTCTGGGTGGGAGAGGCTTAGCCAAACTAGGTAATAAGGCGCTGAGGGAAAGGGGAAAGAAAAAGGGAAGAAAGAAAAACTGTACAGGCTGGAGTTGCTGCATTTACTCAGAGGAGAGGTCATGGTTGGAGCAACTGAGTGTGAGGAAAATGGATGGTTGAGAAAAGGAGGCTTTAATATGGGGCCTGGAAATTATATATTTGAATCTACTTTAGAGCTATTAACAGTAAAAATTTGAATAGCTATAATATGTTGAAAATATTAAACCCGAGTGTTTTCATTGCCCCCCCCCACGATTGGTCAAGCTTTGTTATTATAACAAAATCCCTGAGATTGGGTACTTTATTAAAGAAAAGGAGTTTAGTTCACAGTTTTGGAGGTTCAGCTCTAAGGACAAGGTGATTGGCTTGGAGAGTGGGGGAGAATGCTGTTAGAGCAAGAACTGCACAAAGTGGGACAAGAATGAGCTCCCAGGACCCATGCTTGCTTGGCTGCTAAGCAGATGCCAGCACATGGCATGGTATTGTGCTGACCGGAGTGGCAATTCTCAGATTGGAGTGTGCATCAAGAACTTTCTCAATACACATGCCTAGGCTGTATGCAGGTAGGTTCTGATTCTGCATGTTGGTAAGAGTTCCCTGGCTTCTTTGAGTGTTCATTCTTTACCAAAGTTCCCACATAAACCAATGTGAAAACTAAAAATACCCTGATGGAAATCACCAACTATAAGTAATGGGGCTTAATGAATTTTGCTTCAAAGCAACAGAACGTCTTTCCAGCACAGTGGTGTTTTGTTTTCTTGCTTGTAATGCCCTGTGTCAGCCAAGGTTGTGTGAATACTTTTCTTTTTTGTGTGTGGTGGGGTGGACTAGGGGTTAAACACGGGAATGCTCTATCACTGAGCTACATCCCGGAACTCTTTATTTTTCTCATTTTGAGACTGAGTTTCACTAAGTTGCCCAGGCTGGCCTTGAACTTGCAATGCTTCTGCCCTAACATCCAGAGTCGCTGGGATTACAGGCATGCTGCACTGTAGCTGGCTCTTTCTTAAAAAAGAAAAAAAAAAAAAAGAAAGAAAGAAAGAAAGAAAAGAAAGAAAACAAAAGAAAGAGAAAAATTCAGTTTGGGGCTTTTCCCCTTATATTTGATTCGGTTTTGATATGTATTTTTAAAATACCTCTACTAGCTGGAAGTGTCTCTAACACACACACATACACACACACACACACACAAATACCTCTACTAGTTGGAAGTGTCTCTAACACACACAAACACACACACACACACACACACACACACACGCACACACACACACCAGGAAAAGAAAGTTACACTTAGTGACAAATTCAGTATGCTGTTTTTGCATCACAGCTTTCTGTAACACACTTTTCAGGGCTTTGAAAGGCTTTGCGAGGTGCAGCCTGGGATGCAGCTAATCTGGAGCCAGGGTGGAGAAGGTGAGAAGTACCAGGCTACCCAAAGTTACAGCTTGTTCAGAAAACTGGTTGTAGACTTGGAGAAACTATATAGCCTATAAATGACCTGAGTCACAGTTTCTTTTTTTTTTTAACAGAAGGCAACTAACATTTAACTCCAGAAACAGTTTTATAGGGATAAGCGCCAGGAGGTACCACAGTAGACTACAGCCTCACATTATCTTGCTGGTGACACATTTTTTTTGTTTTTTGTTTTTTGTATTCCTTTGGCTTGAATTGGGATTGAAGAGGACTGCAGTTCTAAAACGTTACTCCTCCCATCATAAATTTCTTCAGTGGACTCTTCCACTAAATAAATAACAGATGTCCCTAAACAAAGTCATGCTGGGGCGTGGACCAGTGCTGTTGTTCTAGGTAGTGGTTGTTGAAGGGGTGGTGGGTGAGAGTTGGGGCAGGGTTTGTGCCTCAGAACTCCACTCCCACTCCCAGTCCTGTCTCCTGGTCCTGCGTGCTCTTCCCCATGGGATGCCAGCTCTGCACCACAAGGGAACCTTTAGAAGAAATGATGGGGATTAGGTCACAGGCAGGGTCCCTAGGGGCTGCAGGGCGTCTGCACAGTGAAGCAGGGGTAGAGGCTGAAGGAGTCCCTGTGCAGACACGCAGTCTTCATTGGCGGAGACGCAGCCTTCCAACAGAGAGAACCTCAAGCAGTTGGAGTAGAAGAAAGAGAAGGTAGACAAGAGATAG